GAGGCAAGAACATGGTTGCAAGAAGAAAGCGGGGTGATTACGCAAGAAGCCAAATGTTCCAAACGATGTGTGAATGGGGCGAATCAGATGATAAACAAGAATTTCGGGACAAGTGTTGTTAGTTGAAACAAAAGTACGGGACAGGAGGGGGGGGGGACCGAGCAAAACAATAAAGTTTGTAAGAAACCACGGCTAATTACAAGAGCTCCCCTTTTCCCCGTTACCCCCCCCCCCCCAAAGTTCTCAATTGTCGCAATTTCTTCATAAGCAAATGGCCCAACCAGTGGGGCCATACGCATCCTGAATTTGAATAAAATAGTAGAAGTTGGCCGAGAACGACGATGTCGACAACGTTTCCTTCAGAAGGAAACGAAGCGATGAAGAAACGAAACGAAGAAGCAGAAGAAGGGGTTGAAGAAAAGGGGGCGGCGATTGAGTTTTGTTTCGACAATGGCCCCATCCCCGGGAGAGATATATAAAGAAAAGAGGAAGCACAAAAAGAGGAGCGGTGGGAAGTTGAAAAAGGAGAGAAGATGAAGTTTTAGTAGCGTTTGCAACAGATGGGAATGGGATCTGTAATCGAAATAAAGTTGCATAACATGCGGTAAAACGAGTTATTATTAGGTATCGTTGTCCGGTTCAACTCAATTTTCGAATGTGTGCACTTTTTGAAAATATTGGGTAGGAATAGAGTTTACATAGGAATGCACGAGACTTCTACAAAAGTGGGATCAGTCCAAGACTGTGCAATTTTTGGCCGCTGCCGGCAGCATGAATCAGGCTGTGGTAAGGTTGTCGTGTACTAATCAATTAGTCAGTATTAAGCCCTAGAGCCGCTAAGGCGCCGTATCTTACCTATTTCAGAAGTATCAGAATCAAAATTATGCTGTCGGCCGTGAAACAGCATTGAATGGACCTGATTTTTAAAAAAGAGATTTCAGAAAGTACTCAATTCTTTTTAATTTAATTTGATTCGCGATACCCTGAAATTCAACCCCAAGACTTCTTTTTTGGAATGATTTCTAGCATAATTACGGTGATTGGGAGAATACAAGCTTTTTTTTCGTGAGACTTATAAACATTGTTTACAAATTTTTGTTTATCTCGGTTCCTGCGAACAATATCAAAAAGTAATCAATTGATAAAACATTTTTACTATCATAACCAACATTTTGTTAGTCGACCACTTTTCAATATTTTCTACAGGAGACGATATAAACCGGATCAAATTTAGGGGGCCCTGCTATTACAAGCCTTAAGGCAACATTGGCATCCGGCGACAATGAGAGAATTCATCAGTGGAACTTTTTTAAAAATTAGATTGGATTATTTACCATTTTCTCAGAATCAAGCATGCCTATATGATTATATTAAAATGTACAAATGAGTAGAGGCAATTTTTCGAGTGCTGAACTATTTTAACCAATGAATGCTGAAAAATATTATTTGAGTTGATTTTTTAGTGTAGAGCTTGAAAAATGAGATAAAGAAATCGAAAAAAAAATACATGGAACCAAGAAACCCGGACACACACACCACCTTCTAGCTACTCTGTTATTTCAGTACTAAACAAATTGGAGGTTTCTCCACTGCAGACAAAGATGTATCGTTTTTAGTACAAAGGTAGCAAATACACACGTTTCTCGAAAATGCACAATCTTTGTAATATATAAAACCGCTTGAAGCGAGGGCAGTGGGTGGCACATGGAAACACTTTCGGTCGATTTTAACGATCCTGAATTTTTAGAGAGGACTATCAAAGTGGTGGAAAAAAGACGGAACACACTGGGAAGAGATTAGCGACCTTTCTTGACATTCCCTCCTCCTCGTCCTAATGTTTTAGGAAGGTAACCCATCATTAGCCAGACAATAGAAGTAATAAGTGTATGGTATTAGACAATTTCCAACCGGACAGGACCACAACAGTTGTCGTGTTGTTACAAAAATAGGAGTCAATTACTAAACGATAGGAAGGAAAATAAGAAAAATGGCCTAATTAAATGTCATGTGCCTACCATACACATCATGTACCTGAATGTTATATTATTATAAAACTTGGACATTTGTCCCAAAAGAGAATAGAAAATAAATACACGTGAGAACTCCTCGGGTGGGCTTCGCCGTAGCTCAATTACGATCGAGTTTCAATCATTACGACGCGGGATGCAAAGACACACGGATGTATAAATATCCCTTTCTTTGGGTGTATATGCATAAATGTTTGTACACATACTTTGCAAGCATAAGTTGGTAATTGGAGAGAGAACTTTTGAGAAGCTCCGGAAAGCTCAGAAAGAGCTCGCCAGGAAAAAAGAGAAAAAGAAAAGACAGTGTGACATATCAATAGCTATTACTCAGCGGTACGCGGGTGTAAAAGCAAGCTAGGTGGTCAGAACAAGACAAAAGGCAATTAATTCCGGGTCAGACGACTGGAATGAACGGTAATAGAGGTGGTTGGCCCGTGTGTTTGATTTTTTGGGTTGAGCTTAGTAGATGTGGTAATGAATAATGGAAGAAGCAAATTGGGAAGTATCTAGAGCCACCTGTTTAGTCCAGTGGTAAACGGCTCATAAATTTTTCAAAAGAGATTAGAATAAATTTCGATTTAAAATATCTCAAAAATGAAATCCTCAACTTGAAATTTTTGAATAAAAATGTTTTAGGATTTCATGTACTGTAGCTGTTTTTTTTCCGATGTGCTACCAGCAAATTATTCGCCAAATCAGCCGTATTTTCTTTAATTAAAGCCCACCCTAACATTAACTTTGAGCTCAATTATCTCGAATTTTGTAGAAGATATCAACACCTTGCCAACTAACACATTATTTATCATAACATCACAATAATTTAATCAGTTTGCACCATTTTAATGTCTTACATGGAAATCGAGATAATTCAGCTTGAAGCTAATTGTTTGAGTGGGCTCCCACAAGAGATAATACAGTAGTTTGTATTACAAAAAAATTTAGGAGCTCACTATCTAAAAACTTTCAAAAAACAAATAGCTATCGATTATAATACGACCTCCACTAACAAAAAGATACACTATACATAAGTAAACTGCTAGGAAATTGACACTCGAGACGACGTTCGACTCGTGTCCGAGGGAAGAGAGGTGAACTGTTGCGTAATTGGGCAGCAGGCGTACCGGACCATCCGGACATACGATACAGACACACACCCACTCAACAAATCGAGCTTACCTAATGCACCTCCCGAAAGAGCACATCTTTCTACCTTACGTCATCCAACAGAAGTTCGATGGGAAGAAGAAGAAAACGAAGACTCGTGGTCCGTGCGGAAATAAGAATGTGCATATTGAGAGGAGGAACAAGTGCATAAGATTAGAATGTTCCAAAGTCAAGATTGAAAAGCAGAGTTGGAGAAAAGAGTTATCTGTTTTGAAACGGTGGTAAAGTTGAAAGGCCACTTTTTAATTTTGAGTTAATTTTTCTCGGTTCCTGTCAACGAAATAAAAAAAGTTGTCAGCTGATAAATTATTCATCATACAAAACAAATATTTCGTTAGTTGACACAATTCAGATATCTCTAATAGAAGTTTAGATAAATGAGCTCAAAGCTGGCGGTTTGAGTGAGCTTCTATTAGAAGAAATCAGACTTGAAAACGGGACCTGCCATAGTTTCTTTTATGGTCAATATTCTTCGATTAACTAATTTGGATATGATATAACATGTTGACAGGCCCGGCCTGGATTTGAAGCTCTAGTGCTAGTAACTTTGTTCAAATACAAGCTACAGTTCTCCAAATAGTATCGTTTTGTAGTACTCGTCGAGTTCTTTAATATCGGAATTAGTTGATCAGAAAATATTGATCCTAAAAGAAACTATGGCAGGGCCCGCCAGGGCACTGATTGAGCCCGTTTTCAAGTCTGAAGAAAAAATAACACGTTTTTTTTTTGGTTTTTTTTATAAGAAAAAAAATTTGACAGCTTAACTTGGAGCCATCTTTACCGCACGTCCACTGCTTTGAGAGTCACTAGAGAGTGAAAAAAGGGGACAATGATGGGACTAATTATTTTCTAACGTCTTGATTTCGAACGCCATACGGATGCCATTCCCGAAAACCGGAAAAGAATGCGCACCAATTGATGGGCACAATAAATTGACAAATGATGTTTATGGGTGTTGGCAGCTTCTTCTTCTCGATCTTCTCAAGAAGAGAGGGACGTGCGCATCTCCTCCTCGGAAGGGGATAATCGAGCCAGCCACTTGAAATCTGGAACAGACGGCCCGCAGGTTGCGTAACCTCTACCATAAACAGATGACAAATTGCCGACAAACCCTTTAGGGGGGATATAATGGTGACAGTCGAGAAGATGGAGCTATTGTTTTCGTCTTTTTGTCACCCCCTTCTCAGGGCCGCCCTCATCAGTCATCTGTAATCCGGGGCCACCACATGGGATAATCAAAACCAACAGAGAGCAAAAAAATGACAAGTCAAACATTCATTCATTTTACAGAAAACAAGCAAGGCAGCTTTTTTATACAAAAGGGAGAAAAAAGAGAATTTGTTTCGCTGTATGATTGGGGGGATAATCACCGAAGTAATAAGATGGGAAAATTGAATTTTGATACAAAAACAGTGTCATGTGGGAACGCTTGCTTTGTGTGTGGAAACGGCACGGTACTATTCATTATAGGGGTCAAAATAATGGCAAAATGAAAGAGAGAAGGTTGAAGGCTTAAGGAGTTTTTTTTTCCAATCTTAAGGCACAAATGATACGGAGCAATTTGGAAAGTGGCGAGAGGTTTTTTGAACAGTTTCAAAACGATAAAATGCAATTTTTCAAGGAAATATTATGACTTTAAGTGAAATTATGCGGGGGTGCGATAGACAAAAAGGGGGTTAGGAATGCAGAAAAAAAAGCTATCATATGAATTACGAACGTAGTCATAACGGGCAAGGTTTTGTTTTGCGAGAAAACTGAACAACTAGAATAAAACGAGCTCACGGAGCTCAACGAAACTTTTCAGATGAATCAATTGCTAGGCGATGATAGGAGATCCTTGATGAATCCACTCAGCGATTTGCTCATTTTGAGCTCCTGCACATTGTGTGTAATCTGAGTTCGGGCAGTGGTGCCACCAGGGTTGACGCGTTCATCGATTTCTTGGAAGATCTGGAATAAAATTTTGAGTTTCAAGCTGATTTGAATTTGATAGATACCTGTGAAAAACGCTTTTTCGAACGAGCCGATTCTCCATTGTATGGTCTCATGAATGGCTCAATATTGCGAAAAAGCTCAGCGCCGGTCAGAGTGTCTGGAAGGCGAGTCAGGAACTCTACACAGTCGTCGAAATCCATGTTGAGCAGCTTCGACTCGTACATTCGGAGAATTCCAAGAGCAGCTTTGAACAAGAATTCCTCCCCGTCGCGGAAGTAGACATCCCAGATACGGCAGGTGACGTCGAGAGGAAGAGATTTGGCGTACATGGCGAAGGTCCTGTAAAAGGTCGTGATTCATAATTGGATGCTCATAGTTGGGTCATGAGCTATTTCTCAGTATATGGGGTTTTGCATACCGTTCGCAAAGCTTCTAACATTACTGTAACGCCTACAGCAGTTTTAGAAATGAACTAACTTTCAAACCAATGCCATCATGATAGCATACCGTATTTCCTCTAATAGGAGTCCACCAAAACTGTCAACTTTGAGTTTAATTAACTCTATTCCTATAAGAAACATCGAAAATCTGTCAACTGATTAAACATTAGTTATTTAATGATAAACAAATCATCAGTTGAAAATTTTTTTGATATTTTTTGAAGGAATCGAGATAATTGAGCTCAAATGGAACAGGGTAGTCTTTTTCGAGCAAGTATGGTAGGTAACAAACTTGCCTGACCAATCGAAAAATTTAGATTCTATGGAGCTGTTGTAATGGGAGCTGTTGTAATGGGACCTTATAGACAAAGTAAGCTTAAACTCACCACTCAATCAAATAAAGATCCGGCCGAACATCCAACTTATCCAAATGCTGATGGAGAGCCGGAAGCTCTTGTTCTAAATATCTATCATACGCGATGAAGTACTCCGTCATCTGTGGCTGTTTCAGCCCAAAGAATGCAGATTGCAATGGACCATCCAACAAATTGGCAAAAGTCATGAACGCCGGGTACGGCTCCATTTGAATGAGCAACACCGCCGCAATGAATGTCATCGACTGCACATAGCCGATGTCTGGGCGAAGAATTGCATAGGCACTGAGTAGCTTCAGAAGATGATCATAGTATGGTCCGTCCTTCTGGAACATCCCAAGCGATGTGAAGGTTCTAGTGGCATCAAGATGGATTTGAGTAACTGATGTCTCTTTTCGATCTTCGCAGTTCTGAAAATCAGATTCTAAAAATTAAATCTCTTTACAGATCCCTCACTTTGCTCTGCTCTGCTAGCTGTTTTGCGATGTTCTCTTCCGCTTGCTCCATCAATCCATCGTAAAGTTCTGAAGTGACATTCATTAAATGATGGATTATGTATTCTCTTGGAATAACTTTACACACCCCCACCCACACAATCATAATGATGATGAACGAATCTCACCTTTTGTTATTCCAATCTCATTTCCAATTGCCAGGCACCACAACTCTCCACGAACTTTTGCAGGAACTCCTTGCCACCACAATTCACGGCATCGTTTGGAATCTTTCCTGAAACACGGGCATACATAGAAAAAATGACACAGCGTATGTGTTTTGCTTTCTATCTCTCGCTCATACCCGCGGCGACCACCAATGTCCTTGTCTTCCGCATGCACTTTTGGTCTCTCGCCAGCCTCATTGGCTCAGTGGCAGAGCGTCTGTCTAGTAAACAGAAGGTCGCTGGTTCGATTCCAGCATGAGGCACCGAACTTTTTTGTGATTTTTAGCCGCTGTTTTTTATTTGGAAGAGGTTTTAACATCCCTGTCATTTTTTAAATAAAGTTTCAATTGGAATATTTTTCAAGCATTCTCAGGAACTGTAACTTTCGAAAGTACGGTATGTCAAAGGCGCAAGCGGAAAATTTTCTTGAGAGTCTCTAAGGGAACTGCTTTCGGTTTTTGGCGTTTAGCAAAATTAGTTTTTTGTGCTTTTTTGATGATAACATTTCGAAAATCCGAAATTTTGTAATCTTTAGAATTGGAATACTCCGAAATTTTCGAGTCTTTATAAAATACAAATATTTCAAAGTTTCGAGTTTCTCAAAATCGGAATAATCAAAAATTAGGAAATGTTTACAATAGGCAAGTTCGAAATTTAGGAATTTTTGACATTCCGAAAAAAATTCGAAAGAAATCAAAATCCCTGGCCAACACTCTTGAATCCCAACACTTACATCTCTTCCCATTTTGGCAGTATCTGATCCATCCAAACCCTGCAATGAGCCGCCACCTGTTCCTCCAGCCGCTTTTGCTCGATTTTTGCTTGAACCCGCTCTTTTTCAGCTCGCTGCTCTTTTTTCTTTGCCTGAATACACATTCATTTCATTTTTCAAAAAATCTGCTTTATGTTACCTGCTCCAAAATATCCAGATACATTTGCTTGTGCTGTGCAGCTTCACCAGCTGATTTCGATGGAAGTCCACTGGGCCGACCTTCCAGAATCAGCCCAGTCGTGGCCATGACACCAGACTGTTTATTTCGACTTCCAAACATCTTCCACCCCTGCTTTTCCTCTTTGTTTCGAGAGAACAAGTTCCTGAAAACGACGACACTGTTGTTTTTAGGTCAAATGCGCAATGATCGAGGAAAGATGGCGCGGTTTGATAGTTGCCGACTTACTTGGGGAAATTGAAGAATCGAGACGACTTGGAAGAGGTTTCCGGTTTGGGTGGTGGCTCGTCAAAATCGGATAATTCCGATCGGCGATCCAGGGAAGAACGTTTCGAGTCGCTTTCTGAATTTGCCATTTTTCATTGAATAAGAAAACGATTTCCCCAGTTAAAAGGAGAAAAAGAGACATGATATGTTATGAGAATTGGGGAAAAAATGGAAAAACAAAAAAAAAAATGACTCACCGGTACACCCGATTCCAGAATCGTATTGATCTTGCTCACTAGAACTGGACGAACACGTATTCAGATTGAGGGAGCACAGTGGTTCATCGAGACATCTGCAAAAAAAAGGGAAAACATGAGAAATTCGTAGATTTTCTTTTTTTAGTTAATGTTGTTTAGTTTTGTCGTTTTCTTGGGGGGGGGGGGGGGGGAGACACCGCGTACGAAACGTATATCAATTGTGTTAGGCGGAAGTCAATAAAATAGGCAAAACTTGTTACCAGAAATCGAAATCTGCAGGAAGCTACAGTACCAAATGTGAAAAAAACAACATTTTTTACCAGTTTGGCCATTTTCAGAAGTCCCAGTTTGACCATTTTCAAAAGTCCCAGTTTGTTTTTTTCAAATTTTGCAGATGTATAACTGAACTAGATTAGAAGTTTTGTTTTCACGGAACTTTCTGGATACTCCTAGTTTTTTCCAAATTTGCCGACTTCTAAAAGACACCATTTTGGCGCATTTTGTATTGTAAACGTGATAAATCAGGTGTCTTTCAGAAATCATCAAATACTTGAAAACTAGGAATTTTCAAAAAATTCTGAAAATGCAATTTTCAATCTAGGTCTGTTCTACACGCTCCAAACTTTTCAACGTGCTTGGGACCTTAACAATCGAGCTCTAGGCTTCTGAAAATGGTCAAAGAGCCGAAAAACATTGAAAAGACGTTTTAAAGCATACTTGCAACGGGCCGGGCCGCGCGGGGTCGGGCTTATTTCTGAATTTTCAGGAAAAAATAGTTCTTTCACAAAAAAATTTGAAAAACATTTTTTGAATTTTCAAAATTTAATCCCGGGCCTTGATTTTGCAAGTAAGTTTTACAGATCTTATTGCCCGGTAGAGTATGAAAAATCGTTGAAAAATCTGTCTATGTTTGTTTTCTCAAAGACGTAAGAACAAAAAAATAGTTAGCGGAAGAAAAAGGTGGTCAGTTTCTTCTATTTCCCCTAGAAAATTGTGGTCGGTTTAGTTTGAAAATCGATGTTCTAGAAATTCGAAAAGAGAGTAACAGGAAAACAACAAAGTAGCAAAAACACAATTTTCGAAAGAGCGAGGTGGGCATATGAGAAGAAGATGCATAAATTATTATAGGCAAAAAAAAAATGGAAAATAGGATTTTCAAAGTGTTGGTCGGAAGGGCAGATCAATTGAAATCTGACGGACTGAGAAACAGACACATACACACACACACACACACACACACACACACACACACACACACCCAGATTCACAACTGGTTTCCCAACGCATCCTCATTGGATGTGTGGAGGCGCAATCGGTTTTTTTCCTGTGTCTTCGTGTAGAATAGAAAAAGAGGAACAGGCTGTGTTTTTCCTCGTTTTTTGTGACTTTGAACTTGACTCTTTGGAAATGAGTGAAAATGAGAAGAAAAAGGGCGAGCAATGAGATAGTCTCTTATTTGTCAAAATGAGTAAATAGAAAAAAAGAGTACATTTTTTTCAGTGTAAGGTTTTTAGTAGGAAAGAAGTTGTAGGAAGTTTTTGAGTCGAGGTAATCAATCCTGGATATTCATTAGAGTTGTGCATGCACACATTGGCTCACATATCTGCTCAAAAACAACTTTTTCCAGGATTATCCTTCTTTTTCCATCTCTTCCTGCTGTTTTTCTTTCGCCTCCAGGCTCTAGTCAGTTTTTTACTTAAAATTCTCTTGGTCCTTAAAACCTAAGGACCAAACAAAAAAATTCTAGCGGCCAAAATGACCGATTAGAGCCCATCTCCCTTTGTCTTATCCCAATGCTTTTCATCAATAAATGTTTTTAAATTTTCACCAAATGATCATAAGGAGTCAGTTGTGCCGAACCGAAAAACGTGATAGTACTTGAAACGGCTCACAAGGCACAAACGCCGACAAGAAAATTGGAACTCTGTTTTGTTTACTTTTGTACACTGGGAATTTTTCGATTCGAACGGCACGAACATCAAGTCTACCTCCTAATTTTGATCCCAAACCGCCTACACATTATATAAACTATTTAGAATTGTCTTCAAGCCTTCACTAGCCCCGGATAAAATTCTATTAGCAATGAAACAACTCTAGCAGACAAGGAACAAAAACTTTTTTTTCTTTTTTTTTCAGAGCTGAAAATAACAAAAAACTCACTTAGCTGCTGACGGCGCGAGGGCAGGTGTTCCATTGGCCGTTGTGATCCGACGGGCAAAGTTCAATTGGATTTGTGCCGATTCATATGAGCTGCGACGAATGTGACCGCGACGGAATTTGGTGTCTGCAACAAGGGTAGTGTGATTCTCTATGTGCCGTGTCGAGAGAAAAAAATGAGGGCGCGGGGGTTGTTTGGTTTGCTACTACACTTTGAGGGCGAGTCGCTCCTATAGAAGATAGTAGCGTTGAGGTTGTGTGGCCGCCATAGCTCAGTCGGTTAGAGCGTGGGTCTAATAAGCCCAAGGTCGCAGGTTCGACCCCTGCTGGCGGCAAACATTTTTGATTCTATTATTTTTTTTTTAGTTAGGCGGGGGTTCAAAAATTGTGTCTTTATAGGCAGAGTTACAGAAAGTGTATCTTGAAGACATCAGAAGACATCAGGCGGACGATGCTCCATACAAAATCTACGATATCTCCTAGACGACGTCATACTATTTAGGATAGAACAAAAAACAGAAAATATTTTTTTCTGAAATTAACGGTTCTAGAAATGTCTTGCCAGTGTTCGAAAACCAGGAATTCTAAAGAGAATATACCAGAAATCTATTTTTTTTCGAATTTTCAAAATTTTCAAAGAAACCGTTATCCTCAATTTTGAAATCTTCCGCTAGCTTAGAAATGGATCTATTATCATTTTCAAAGATTGTCTTTCATCTAATACAAGCCCTCCAAAATCGTTCACTTTAAACTCAATTATCTCGATTGTTGTAAAAAATATAACAAATTTGTCAACTGATAAATTATTAATCATAATAGAACCAAGATTTTATCAGTTGACTAATTTTCGTTATCTTTCAAAGGAATCGAGATAATTGAGCTCAAAGTTTACCATTTGGGTCTTCTTCTATTGAAGGAAATATAGTAATAGTTGTCAAATTTTCTCGAAATTTCAAAAAATCCGTAATCTACGGATTTTTCTAATTCTGAAATCCTGCTTCTATGTCTAATGGGCGTTTCCCTGGAAAATTTTCTAATTCTTTTTGCCTTTTTACACAGGTACTCATCTTCAAAAACAAAAGAACACTAATGTTTGTTTTCCAATTTCCGATTACGGTATCTCTATTACACAAATATACAATAAGGAATTCAAAAGGTCATCTTCTCCCAAAATAGGCATCTTCAAATCAAAATGAACATTAGTCTCCGCATAGTGTTAAAAAAACACAGTCTGTCGACAAGACCACTCAATCAAACATCTTGTTATTGTTATTTAACAAGTGTCCTTTTCGTTTTCTCCAATTTACACTTCCTTGTTAATATATTAGTTCATATTCCCGATAATCCAACCTTCCTAATCTCAAATCAAAATCAAAACTAACCTTGTGTGGTTGAAGAAGGCGATCCGGTTCCAGGACATCCCAGAGACGGCGTCCGGTCCAGACTTTTTGTGTCTGTATTGTAGGAAAGAGGCAGATTCTCCACAACTGTCGCCAGGGAGCTGCTCTGCGAGCAACTTCTGCCCGCCAGTTTTCTGTCTGAAATTGATATCAAATAGGGAGTAGGTACCATTGAGCTGAGAATAAGTGGAGAACAAAGAAGTAGGGAACGAGGTGCAAAAAAAGAGGGCGTGGCCTAGAAGAGATTGCTGGTCAAGTGAGAAATAAAATGGGCGGAGCGTGAATGGAGTAACTCCCGGGAGAGAGGCAAACACCAACAGAAGAAGGTGATATGGGTGCGAAAATACAAAAATTCGCGCGAACAATTTTTTGGAGGGCATTGTGAGTAAAGGTTGTATCATGTAGACACATTTCATCTTACGCAGGCGGAAACAAAAAGAATGTGAAGAAGAGAGAAAAGATAAAAGATATTAGAAGGTGTTGAAAGAAGAAAAAAAAAAGAAAAACTGATGAAAAAAGCGTGAAGAATCAGATACAGGAATGGAATGTTAGAAGAGGAGAAAGAACAAAAAATTTTTTGATAAAATGACAATAGTTTCATTGTTCAGAGTAGACCGTTTTTTAGGGGAATTGGGGAAAAAATTCCAAAGGTTCTGGGTTAAATGACTAAGATTTATTATTTGGTCAAGTGAGGTCTATTTCTGAAACAGTTTCTTTTTGAGGGCGTTGACACACGTGAGTCACTGAAAAAAATTCACAAACATTTTTTAATTGAATTTCAGGACCAAATGAACAAAAGAATGAGAAAAAAGAGAAAGAGGAAAATAGCAAAAAACCAAAAAAGCGTTCTAAAAAGATAATTACTGTTAAGGGTTGTTTTCGAGTCACAAATTTTAATGATCCCCACAAACCGTTGGTTTTTGCTGTGTGAAAAAAAAGAAAATGGAAGAAAGTTGAGAAGGGCAAAGGTGACCCTGAAGAAGGACAAAGACTAGGGGAGCACGGGGATAACTAATGAATGCGGGATAGAAAGTTGAAGACGAAGAATCATTGGTAGAGTTGTTGCAAAGTTGATTGGATGAGGGCACACTTTTTGAATTGTACTTCGATGTGTATAGGAAAAAAGTGAGAAAAAAAGAAAAAGTGACACATAATCCTTGTCGCAGAAGCTCCTCGACATCATTTTTTTCTTTCCATTTTTAAAATTAAATATGACCAAAAAAGAAAAAAAAAGAGAAAAAAAAGAACAACTGCCTCGATTTTTGGTTCTTCAAGTGGAGCAGAACTAATGAAAAATTTAAATTCGAGAAAAAAATTGACTTCAAAGTTTTTTTTGGAATAGTGAGAACCATTCCCATGAAGAACTCATTTTCCCAGTGCTTCATGTTTCTTTCCATTTATTTCAGATGGCTCTTTGGGAACGAGAATGGCACGAGGAAGAAGTTTTTTTTTGAGAGGAACGTGGAAAAAAATGAGAAGATGGAGGGAAAAAATGCGGGAGGTGGAAGATGGATGAAAACAACATGTTGACCAAGTGCAATGAGAGAAAAAACTACGAAAAAGAGAATCTTGACTTGTTTAAAACATAGAACATATAGGATGTCTAAGGAATAGTGTGATAATAAAGGATCGACACAATCGACATTCAACAATTCGACAAAGCTATTTGTCGACGAAAATCGAAATACTCGTTGTCGATTTTTGTCGACTTTAAGTCGGCGAAAATCGACGAGAATCTATTTCTGTCAATTTTGCGTAGACTTAAAATCGACAAAAAAAACGACAAAAGTAGACAAAAGTCGACGAAAAATCGACTTTTTCGGATTTCCGTTGAACTCGTGGTAGCCTAGAAAACTCAATTTGCACCGCTTTGAAATGACCTAAAACGTACCAGGAAAATATTTGACAATTCTCAGGCCGTTTTGAAGTGGTGGCCAAAAAAAAATACTCGTGAATGGGAAGTGCTATTGATACGATTTTTGAGAAAACTGAGAAAGAATCAAAAACCATAGAAAAACTCCACAATTTTCAGGACCCATTTTCAGATGGAAGATTTAGTAAAAGGCTTCGAAACGACAAAATTCTGAAATGGAGAGTGAAGAATAGTCGATTTGTGGCGCGAAAATATGAAACATATGTTCGCAAATCTCTGTCAGAGAGAATCAATTCACGAAAAATCCAAAAGAAAAAAATATGCTAATAAAACAGATTTTGGGCTGAATATTCTTATGAAAGAAGTTCTAAAAAACCGAAAAACGGATTCTTTGAAAATTTATCAGCATAACAGACGAGTAAATTTAAAATATATGTGTGCAAATTTCTGCAAAAATCGATTCAAGATCAGATCTAACATATGTTCACAACATGTGGAACGATCTTGCTAAATATAAGCTAAATTTTCTTATATTGAATTTGTCTACGGGTTCCAACAAGCAAACTAACTAGAAAAGCAACCACCAATGACCAAAAAGGTTTTGATAAAAACTGAAGCTAGACCTATTTATGACACAAAAAAAAACGAAAAAATAAGCGGAGAAAGTGTTAAAACTAGCAATTAAATGAGAAAGTGATAGGCTATCAAAAGAAATTAAAATCAGACGTCGTCACTTGTACATAAAAAGAGAAACATGGGTAGCAAAAAGCGGAAGAACGAAGAAAAGAAGAAAAAAAGCAAAATGAAAGAGATACAAACAAAGAAAAGCAAGCCGCGCACACACATATACACTGGCCTTCTCATAATTAGCATACGCGCAATATAAACAGCCACTGGTCAGTCGGATAACAGACAGACAGTACCATAGAGACGCAGGTAGTGGAGAGAGAAACAGAGAGAAAGTGCATTGCTAAGGTCTCCATTTGTTTTCATGCAAATCGATATATGCTATAGGGGGGGGGGGGGGGGGCAACCAAATGACCAGAGTGTGGACATCGTTTTGGGTGGCCGTTGTAGTTGGGAGGGGACGGGTGTAGCGGGGTGAAGGGAGGCACGGACATCATAGAGATAGAAAGGGAGAGAGATGAAAAAGAAAGAAAGAGAGAGGGAATGACGAGTATTCTCTCTCTCCCCCTTTCTGCAGTAGTAGCTGCACCAATACAATAGAGAGTATGTTAAATGAGGAGGTGGGTGGGTAACGGATTTTGCGACTGGCTCGTACTCAAGGATAAACAGAATGGCTGTATTGCGCGTGGAGAACCACTCATCGGTGTTACTTTGCACGTAGAAAAAAGTGACTGCGCAACGGAACGGGTGAGAACAAAGATTGGAGTCTTTGCTCTGACCAATAGGACAATTTTCGAAGAAAGGTTATTTTGAAATCAGGAAGAAATTTGAAATACAGTACCCCAAAAGAAAATATACATCTTTCAACTGGTCAAAAGAGTTTGGATTTTGAGACGAAGTTTCTTAAAACAAATATTCCTCTTCTTTTGTTCTTGCTCCATGTACATCGACATTTAACCCTTGGGAATCCAATTGGTTGTCATTTTGTTGCATTCCGAAATGAAGAACAAATTGAAAGACGGATTTGAATTGTCTAGTCAGTTAAGTCACTGTTTTCTATTTGAAATATCAGATATGCAAACAGAGGTACCGTAATAAAAGAATCATCATAATAGTACTATAATATAATCACCCCCAGCCTGCCTTCAAATTTTGAAGCAAATTCATTTCCGTTCCTGTAAATGATATCAAACATTGCACGTATTTGGTGGACTTCTATTACCAGAGCGAATACGGTATCATCCAATTGATCTTTGAACATGACGCGGTGATTATGAAATAGATCATAAATCGAATAAAGCTCAGACTTATCTGAAAATCTAGACTTTATCCCATAATGGATCTCGTATCAAATTACCAGTCCGACGTTTCCAGATAGAATCAGCCAGCGACACTCTCAAAATCTGATTACCGCTAATCTGCAAAATGAGCAACTGAGGGATTATGATCCATGGAAATGAAAAAGGCAATACTTAAAAAAAACTGACAGTCCTTAAAGAACAAATAGCGACTGTCAAAATGAAAATTGCCGCTCTAAAAGAATGCCTTTGAAGCCGTCAAGTTTGACCTCATACATCTCATTTTCTGTAGAATATATCAAAAAGAGGTCCACTGATAAAATGTTTGTGGTATAATGATAAATAATTTATCAGTTGACAACTTTTTTATATCTTTGTCAGGAACCAAAAAAAGGAGCTTAAAGTTGAAACCTAGGAGTGTTCTATTACATGTTTTACTATTTAAAAAATGGGTGTTTTTTCAAGACATCAAAATTGGAATACAGAATGCAACTTTTTCAATGATTCAATACAATTCTCCCAACTTTTAAGTTTTTTACCGTAACCGAGGGAGCAAAGAACAAAAAAAACTATCAGGATTAAAATCTGTACACCTGTCAGACTCTTGAACTTGGACGCGGTGAATATAAAAGGGATTGTAAATCGAAGCCAGCTGGTGCTCATGACAGTTATCTGATTGTGAAACAAAAAATGACACTTATCTGATTGTAAAATTAGTATCAAATAAAATGTCTAATTTACGACGTGTCTAGACTTGATCAGACAAAATTTATTCGGACCATATGTTTATTACGTGAAGTTAAAGGTGGGGGACATGAAAAAATAATGTTCTCGAAATTCCGTTCAAAGATGCCCCTCGAGGAATTGAACTTGTGAGGGCGATGATTGAGGGTGCGGCGCCGCTACCGACTGAGCCACGCGGGCAAAGAGAAATCGCACGCCCGATTGCATGCATAAAGGCGAGGACGACAGCTGTACGCAGAGTGACATTAAGCGTTGTACACCGTGACGGTAGAATGCATACTCTAGCTACGAAAAAACTACGAAAAATCTCCTGTCCCCCCACCTTTAAATACTGGCGGATTACGGTAGAGACAACTCCAACTTTGAAGAATTTCCGAAGGGGATTAAAAAGAGATCACTCTTTGAACCTTGTAAAGCACTAACCGCCCTAATCAATCATCCTTCTGGGAATTAGGGTGTTCAACTCAAGAAGAAAGGATTAGCAATTGTCAAAATATGAGGAATAAAACGAAATCCTCAGAAACCACATTCCAATGCGAAAAACCAAAGTTTTACTTTTTGCAGATGTTGCAGATTTACGATGAGCAAGGAATTTCAATTAACACCACAAATCAAATTTTTTTTTGTAGTTAATCGAATTTTCCTTGCCATCTATCACGAAAAAAAAACAATTCGAGATTTAGAGACATCGGTGTCTACAAGAATAAAACAAAAACTGGTAACACTGTGGAGTAAACATGATTCTATTTAGGAATGCAAAAAATCTTGATTCCAAAAAAATTAATCAAAATTCCGAAATGGAATACTTAGGTATTCTTCACAAAATTCATAATGCGCAAATGCTCTTCAATTGAAAACAAGTAGTGCAGATTTTTCCAACATTTCAAATGTTGATAGATTTCGTTTATTCCAAAACAACAGTAGAATTTTCTCTGATTTTCAAACTTGAGATCACTTATCTTGGCTGCTGTAATAAAAATTGAGAATTAGTCAACTGACAAAATTATGTTGCTATTATAATAAAAGTTTTGTCAGTTGACCACTTTTTGATGTCTTTCACAGAAAATGAGATATATGGGATGAAATTGACGATGCGGGGGTTCTTATTGAGCGCTTAAAGTATCTCTGAGAAAAAGTATTATTTTGTTTTGCTAAACGATCCTATCATGAGCATATTGAAAGATAATAAGCTCTTACATGTATTCAGCAAACTTCCAATCGGCTGGAATTGATATAAACGATTTCTAGAATTTGTTAAAATTTTAGAAACATTCGTTTCAGTGAGCATTGTTCTCTTGAATTTTAAAGTCCAGAATTTTGAGGTGCTTTCCATTCTACTTAATTTTTTCAACTATTCTCATACTGTAAACTCTCCAATAGAATCCCCTTAAACTGTTACCTTCACTCCCATATATCTTAGTTCCCGTGAGAGAGATATCGAAAAGTGTTAAATTGACTAAATATATTTTCGAAAGCATGATATTTACTTTATCAATTGACCACTTTTTGATATGTTTTACAGGAACCGTGAGAAATCATCTTGGGGTTAACAGTTACGGGGCCGTTCTATTAGAGTGTTAACTATTTACAAATTTAACTAAAAACTAATTTCTTCGGAGTTTTTGAAAAAGTCAATTTTTTTGTATGATGGACAATTACTCGAGTTTTATCGTTCTTTCTTTTTCAAAAAAAAAAAATTGTCCCTTCAATGTTGTTGTCCATTCAATGTCGAAAAAAAAAACGATTCCAATTGTTGAACACTACTTGTGAGCGGTCAATTCAATTTTCAAGTCATTAAAGAGGATTAAAGCATGTAAAGCACATCATTTCCCGAGTGACTTACCCGATCAAAATATCAAAACGAGACGGGTAACATCATTGATTGCATGTTGCATTTAAGATGACCCTTCTGTTGTGCCGAACAAAAAAACTGCTAGAAAAAAGCTGGACAGCACATGTTTTCCGCTATAAAATTGTTGGAAAAAAGGTTCGGACGGCGGGGAAAGAGGAGAAACACGTAATTGGGGAAAGATAATGCCCCAAGGGGTATCTTTTAGTGAAAAGGAATGGGAGAAACAAGTAAAAAGGTTTTGGGTACGAAAAAGAGGAAAAACAAACCAAATGGATATCATATATTTTACAGCGGAGGTGATAATGGGGCGAATAAATCAAAGTGATGGGGTAGAAGACATCGGTTGAAGGGAGCATATGTTTTAGAGTTTCTACAAAACAAGATGTTAGAAATGATTGATGGAAATCCATTGAAACCTTTGGACCCACTTGAAGGCAAAAAAACTATACGAAATTCAAAGGGCATTTCACGTAGCATTTTTTTCTCATCTCGAAAGGGTCCACTCTCATACATATGAGCACACACTGGTTTTATTATTCGTTGTAGAGGGAAAAGGGAACCCGAAATTGAATGAAATGTGAACCAGATGAATCACAGACACACTCACAATGTGCATCTTTTTTTAATGGTTTTGTGGTTTTGAGAAAGACCGAGTAACAATGGCTAGTGGTGATATATACATTTCGGTTGAGTACTCTAAGGGTGGAGCTGAGAGGACACTGAGTCATACAGATTGGAAATGATAGATTAGAAGTTTTGCATGGGTCCCTTGCGGACCCGGTCAAATTCTTGATGTGTCATCCGTGTGTTACATTGGAACAAGAACAAGAGAATGCTTGTTCTTTACTATTTTGACATTGGAGTAAATCTTAAGGCCTCAAAGCGCTACATCGCTACTATTTTTAAAAAGATACCGTAAACACAGTATTAGAATGACTCTCGAACCGTCAACTTTAAGCTCCTATATCTCATCTAATGTTATCACTAATGTTTTATCAGTTGACAGATTTTTTATATCTTTCAAAGAAACTGACATGTGAGATAATTCGGTTCAACGTGCATAATCATTGCTTCTATAAGAGGTTTTACTGTATGTGGATGTAAAATGAAAATGTTGTTTTGTTTGACATTTTGAAATGTCATTCAAAAAATCTTACCAGTTGAAAAATACTAAAAGCTCTACACCGTCACTGAATCAATACTCAGTTCCGAATCAACCGAACGAATCAATGCTCAGTTCATAATCGTAATAACACTCTTGCTCAAAAAACTTAAAACTCCAATTGGAAAAGATCGAACCAGCTACACTAAACCTGTTGAATTTTCAACTTTTGAAGCATTTAAAGTTCGTTTAAGACTAACTGGAAACAGACCACTTTTCTTTTCATATATCCATTTCTTATTTTGAAAAGTCAAATATTTCTTCTCATTATTTTTTCTATATTTTTTCCATAATATCTTTTGAAGCCAAAAATTTGAATTTATATTGAAGGCTGACAATTTTATTCATAGCTTGCTCATTGTTCGAAATTGTGTTCAAAGTACAAACGTTTACACAAATTTCTTATATTGTTTATACAAAAAATAGGGTTAATGGGAACACGGTGTGTACAAAAAATTTTTAAATCAGAGATTCACTTCTCGTCATCCTCTTCCGGCTCTTGCTCTTTTCCGGCCTCCTTGTTATCAGCTTTGCTGATCTCTGATGAACCCTCGGCGTCTTCTCCCTCGCGAATTGATTTTTGATGCGCCATCATCTTGCGTTTGGCACCAACACTTGAGGTCTTGTTGGATCTGAGATTTTGAAAAATGATTTTGATTTTCAGAATCGATGACTCACTGGATTGGAAGGTTCCGCTTGCGTTTCACAGCGCGAAGGTCTCCTGGATACTTAAAAAGACTGTCCTCGTTGGTCTCTTCCTCTTTTGGTGGAACTGGTGTACGTTTGTTCTGGAAGGAAAGAGCAAATTGTTTTTTAATCCTTTGTTTTTTGAGAATCATTATTTCATTCAGGAATCAATGCTCAATTTACAGTAACGGTCAATAAGATATATAAAAAACGTATTTTTGGTTGATTTTAAGCTATTTAGACCGTTGCGAAGTCTGGAGCTCGTTTGTTAAGTTTCAGATCCCTCCAAAATCGTTTGAAGTTGCAAAATAAACCTCTTGGAAACATTCGTTCACGTAACTGTTTCAAAATCCCCAGTTTTTCAACTATTAATCGACTTCCGGAAGACCTGTTTTTTCATATTTCAGTATAAAAACGGGCCAAAAAAATGTCTTTCAGAAATCGGCAAGTAGCGGAAAAACTAGGAATTTTAAAAAATTCTGTGAATGCAAAGTTTCCAAACTAAGACTGTTTTACATCTTCCAAAATTTTCAAAGCGGTCGAAAACTCGACGGCCGAGCTCCCGACTCCCGAAAATGGTCAAAGCTGCTAAAAAATCAACGGAAAAATACGTTTTTGTATATCTTACTACTGTAACCAGAGTTCCAAATTTGAGCCTTTTGAATGAACAAAAATCACGAAAAAGTTTTGAACTCACCTCCTCATCGGTATGAATAAAAATCGAGAATTGTCTCGTGAATCGATGGATTCTCTTCATCTTCACAACGGCACGCTCTATAGCTGGGCGGAAAGATGATGTAGTGGGAACTTGTTGGTCCAGCTCAGCCATCTCTGCGCAAAAAAATGAGCTGGAAAATAATTGGAAATAATTGAATCTTAATTATACATGTTCGATGCGGATATAATCAAATTCAGAGAGAGTGTAGGAGGGCATCATGACAAAAAAATAACCCGAAGGAAGAAATGTCAGTCTACTCTTTCCCTCCTCGAGTTGGTCAACGAGCAGATCATTTTTCCGGGACGAGAAGAAATCAGAGAGAAACCCCCTCGGCGGAATGCAACACATCAACACGAAAAAGTCATATGTTTCAATGATGAGTGTGTCATTACGTTGAATTTCATTACATTTAATGTGTATGAGCCGAATCGACCCCGGTTTCCTGATTTGCAATTTTCAACTGATAAGGACATGTTGACATTGAAGTATGGTGTGTAAATATAGAAAAAGAAATGGGAGAAAAAATGAAAAACGACATGATGGGCTCCTATAATCGCCGAGAAAAAAGAGGAAAATCTGATAAACTCCTCTTTTTGAATTTTGATGGCATAAACAAGAACATACGCTTTATGTTAAAGCGGATATACCTCTGGAGACATCCCATAAAAATGACAGATCATCTGGAATATATCCTATGCTTTGGGAAGGAAAAAAACCGAAACCAGGCGCATAACTTATTCATGACTATTCGAAGCGAACATTAATCACCGGATGTTGGAGTTCAGCTCACGACATCATATACATTTAAGATCAAGTTAGAAAATAAGAAGATAAAAATGCTGAAATGCGTGTGTGTGTGTGGGTATTGAAACTATGCTGGCCTTGAGTCGGAAGGGTAAAAAAACACAAGATCAGCCGCCGTTTTTTACAAATAATAGATGATGTTTGCCGAAAAGGTTGGATTTCATCCTCTCCTTATGGGCTCCTTTTCGGTTTTTGGATAGCATCAGTGATACATCGGCTCATGGGTTTTGGATTTCGAGATAAGACCCATGATTTCACTAGAAAGATTATTCCAAAAGTCATGTTGGCTATGTGGGAGTTTAAGAAAACGTTTGGAAGCTGAAATTCAAAATGAATCACGTCATTTTTCGACTAGTGATTGTAAAGGCTGACCCGTCGATCGGGCTAGTAGAACTTTTATAAAATTTTTACACTGTTCACTGCAGTGAGAAGAAACAAAGAAACAAGCCACTAGAAATTTTCTAGCGATTCTGGCCCGACCCATGACGTCCACGTCATCTGAAGTTTTGACCAGAGTTGTGGTTTGGCTGTAACTGACTCGTAAAAGGACAGAAGGATTATTGCAAGACATCGGTTCGGAAAATACAAAAAATTGGTACAAAAATTGAATTAGAATGATTCAACAAGTCCAATTTCTCACTTTAAGTTGATCTTCCGGTACCAGAAAATTTATTTTTTTGTAAAATGATCTTATAATTAAAAAAATCATATTGATTCAAATGTTTGTGTACCGTAAAACCGGTAATATTACGTTCCTCTACTTGTAACTGTAAGCCCCATTCATCTTGGTTACTGTGAAAGATTCCAAAAAGTGGACAACTGGGAAAATGTTAATTATAAAATCACCAACATTTTATCAGTGAATAGGTTTTTTATATTTTTCATAGCTACCAAGATAAAATTGCTCAAAGGCAGGGGGCTCTTCTATTACAGGTTTTATGGTATACAAAGTTATAAATAATTTTCATAGAAATTTAAATTTTTCAACTCAAACGTGACAATGAGTGGACTCATCTATTACAATTTTCAAAACAAAAAATAGAGAAAAAAAAGAAATAATTTAGTTGAATTTATTGGTTAATTAAATTGTTAAATTCAAAAAAATCTACCAAAATATTAAAAAAAAAACAACCTTTTTGGATATCAGGGCTCCGAAACTATTTTATTTTCAGACCTTTATTCTCCTCTATATCTGACCAATTAATGTCCCAACTGTTACACCTTGGATTATACCAAAAAAATAACACACTTTCGAGAAAAAAAGAAAAAATGGTGTCTATCAACGTCAACTGTTGATTATATAGCTCCTAGGTGTCATCTGGGAATTTTATAGGCATGTGACAGAACCCAAGAAAATCGCAAAACATTATTCTCAAGAATCAAAACAGCAAAAACGTAAAAAAAATCAGTCCCTGAGTAAAAATTGGAGCAAAAACTTTATGAAATCATTTTGTCGTTCCTCCAAGTACCTCGTCAGGTCAGAAAAAAACAGGATAAATTTCTAATAGTCCAGAAATCCCATGTGGGATACTAAATTCCGAGTCTTGACCTAGAGAAAAAGCTAACATCACCGCCGGATGAACTTTGTAATCTGAGACTTTAAAATTTTTCGGTGGTAGCTGTTGTCTAACATGAGCTGTTCAATCCGTAGAGCTGACTTACATCTCCACGAATATTTTTTTGTATCACCAGGAACTGAATCATCTGGTCATCCAAAACAACAGGTCCGCCCATCTAGACAATGACGCAGTCATTAAATTTTATCCCTAGGGCCTATTTCATGGAAGTCAAAGTTTTCGAAATCCAAACAGAATAACCGTATCCGTATTAGTGAGTCGGCAGAAAAAACATGGCTTGCTAGAAAAAAAAAGAAATAATTTGCTTGATTTGCTGCTGACCTTTTAGGCTAATTCAATGTAAGAGCCCATCCCAGAGGCCTATCATATATAAAAAAAAGCTTTCTCGGAGATGAGAAGAGGAAGAAGATGAAGAAGACAAGATCAAAGTATAAGATGAGCATCATCGGATGTCTTGTTTTATTGTGTTTCCCCGTATGAATAAATCAGAATGGAAATCGGAGAGAGAAAACTAGAAGTAGTTGGGATATGTGGAAGAAAAAGTAAGGAATGAATCGGGAATTCGTTTTCTTTGAGCTGAAAAAAAGGGGAAGTAAAAAGTAGTGTGGAATGAATATGGAGTAACGGAAGCAAATCAAAAAAAATTGATGTGCTCTAGGCAAGTGTGTCCTCTCTCGGCTTCATCGGGTCATGTTGCTCGTCGAGGAGCAAAGACGACGTGAGTTCCAGTGGAGCCATTTGTCGAGTAGGGGTGTCAGTTGGTCGAGAGCACCAGTCTGAAAAAGAACGCATTAAGTCAGGGTTCATTTAGACTCCGCCCCCAAAAAGGAGTACCTATAGGGGTGTGGGTGTTTGAAAGAACGCATTCTAGTTGCAAAAACAGGTGAAACTGGTAGTTGATCTGAGGAGGGTGTGGAACGTTTACTTCCTCGTGGGATTTAGAGTTTGACTCGTAAAAGATCATCGATATCAAAAATTTAGTCACAAAACATTTGCAGTATGAAATTCACTAAACTTACAAAATTTCCAAAATCAAGGGATTTTAAATTAAACCACCCAGCGTCTGAAAAATTGGAATCTAAATCCGTTCTGAAAAAAGCAAAAGTTGCTACAGATCACACAAATTCAATAAATAGAAAAGATGAATACCACTTGATGACCCACTGGCCTCATTTTTCGAAACTTATATTTCAAAAGAGCTCGAACATCATCAAAGTCACAAATACAAATTACTAGCAATAACTTGGTTTGTTGGATACAATTCCAAGGCGACTATTACTATTACTTAATAATTCCTAGGTATATAAAAATTTTCCCCTGGTACCTGATACATACAGTCAAAATCAAATATTTTATTTTAAGTATACAAAGTTTTATGAATAGTACAGTTACTTCAAGAATGGAGATAAAGTTTTAGAACATTGTGTAAGCAGTTTATGATCAGAAAGGTTTTAGCCCAATTATCTCGATTTCTATAACAGATAACAAAAATCTGTCAACATTGATATAATTCAGCTCAAGATGCAAGTATATGGTAACGGATATTTTCAACTCACCCAAAATGATCTGCACAATGAAGGACACAACCACATTAGTGATTACTGCGATTACACTGTAGTATTGATAGGATACGGCAAAAATTCGATCGATACCATATAGTCTGGAAAACAAGTATTAGGTATTTTCAATTTTGATGTAGCATTTACAATGGTGTCGAAGTAACGGTTCCAATTAGACCCTCATTGAAAACCGTGTTGGTCTGGTTAGAGCATTGACCAAGTTCTAGTGAAACTGGTCTAACTTTTAGAATCGTGGCTCCAACAGAGACTCCAAAGCTTATCATCACCGACGATAATAGTCCAACTACTGCTGCCGCTCCTTTTACTCGTGGAATGAACATTCCAACAACAAAAGAACCGAGGACTGGGCCGCCAATGGCTCCAAACACTATAAAGCTAGCCTAAAATATCAATATTTTTTGAGGACACCAATTCCTAAACTACCTGAAGAATAATTCCTTTGAACTGCGCACATCCAAACGCCAAGCCAATTGAAACAAAAGAAAGAAAAATAGCTGCAATTTTAGGAAAATTAAATTATTTTTTAAAAAAATGACTTACGCAAAACCCTCATTGCGTTTTTAATTTGTTGGTATTCCAGAGCAGGCATTTTATGTCGTTCTCTAATGACGCCCCACACATCGTTGATGATAATAGACGAGATGGAAGTGAAAGTGGCGGAGAGAGTACTGTAATACTAGTAATGTAGTACATTGAGGCCTTTAAATTGGTTTTTTACCTAATACCAGCACTGTAGATCGCAGCAGCAATCAAGCCAACTGCTCCTTTCCCCTTTGGCATCACATCTATTACAAATCTTGAGAAAATGTCGTTTTTATTGGAAAGTCTCGGATCACAAGCTTGATAGTGGGCGTACATAAGAAGTCCAACGGTGACGTACAGTACAAGAATGATTGTGTTGCAGATGATGTTGAGCATTGCCGTTCTGAAAGTTTTTTCTAGTTTTTGAAGACTCAAATTTTGTTAAAACCTTTGTGCAGATTTCAAGGTTGGCATTGCCATGTATTTCTGAATTGATATTTGATTAGCTCCAAACAACGCGATGATGTTTCCACACCCTCCTATTAATAGACTCCATGCCGAGTGTCGAATCGTTGGGTTGAGCCGGAAGCTAAAGATCTTTAAATTTGTGACAGCTAGCACCATGATGAGCTACACAGAGGCTAGAAAAGAAGGGAGAGGGTTTGCGTCAATTGCAAATCTGATCAAATTCTTAACAGCTCAGATTTATATCCGAGAGAAAAAAATGTTATTTTTATTTTTGAACATTTTATCATTTCAGGGACTTACTCGTTGAGGATGAGCCTCTTTCCACTGATCACATTACTGTACGCTTTGGAAATTCCAATCTGTTTAAGAGAGATCACAATGATAGCTGACATGGCAACGAAAATGACCAGCATTTGAACAGCAGAGGTGTGGATTCCGGCTTTGGCACCACCCTAGAATAGGCAAATTGTATTTGTTTTGAATAGTTTTTTGTACTACGCACCAAGCTGATATACACGGCTGACAGCAAAGAAGTAATACATATTGAGACCCCAATTGGAATGTCGGTGAGGGAAGCGATGGCAAGAGATGGTGCATAGAGAGCGACGGCGTTGTACAGAAGCATCTGGAAATAGAGTAGCTGAGACAGAAATTACAGTACAGGTCAATAAGTTATACAAAGACTCGTTTTTGATAGGGTTTTTTTCATGAGGTTTTTGGCCATTTGGACCATTTTCAGAAGTCTGGAGCTCGATTTTCAGAGTGTACAACCACCCTAGTTGTAATCTTGAAAACTCCTAGTTATTCACCTTTCGGTGATTTCTTAAATCCACCTCTTTTCCCCGTTTTCCGTACAGAAACGGATCAAAAGGGGTTTGTTCCAAAAATCGGCTAATAGCTCAAAACTAGGAATTTTCAAAAAATTCTGTAAATGCAAAATTTTCAAACTAGGTCTGTTTTACATCCCCCGCAATTTTCAAAGTGAGTGAAAACTAGATAGCCGAGCTACAGACTCCTGAAGAAGGTCAAAAAGCAACTGACAACCATGTTTTTATATCGTACTGATCTGCATTACATTTATATAAATTGCTCACCTGTAGGACGAAAAGAAGTGTTGTGATCATCCTGCATGAAAAGTTGAAACGATTCTCAAAGTACTGAAAGAAAAAATAACTACATTTTCAAGAACCTTACTGCAACATACCTGATACGCCGTGATAAGTTTAGCATTGTAAAACACAGGAATGAATACATACGCAACAATAGGAAACGAGATACAGTACATTGGGATATACCATAACATCATGCTTCCTTGATAGTAAATCTGAAAAAAATCATTAGGGAGAATGAAAAAACTACAAAAACATGACACTAACCTCCGCCGGGAACCCTAATAACGAAATGGAGCTGATGAATCCCGAGCACAAACTGAGAGCTCCTGTGATTACAGAAATCCTGAAAAATATTACTTAAAGCTAGAATATTGAGAATTCTCTCACCCAGAACCAAATATGGTGGCCTGCGTGCTGGGCGCAATATTCGGTGGCTCTCGTGATTTGCACAGACCGTAGCCAGTTATACCAACCATGAAAAACACAAGGAGGATATAATCCACAAGTTCCATTCTGTAAAAATATAGAAATCAACTAAAACTAAAGTGTAAACTTTGAAACACATCTAGATGAAAAAGCAAAGTATGGATTAAAACAGAAATGTTAAGACCGGGGGGCTCAAAGAAGGTACAGGCTTAGAAACAAAAGAGCTCTGCCGCGTTATATAAGAATTCTTGTGACTGCTCGCCGCTTTTTGGTTCTATGATGTTTCCGCCTCAATTTCTTTTCTGCTTTCCGTCACAGAACGTTTATTGAAAATATTCAGCCAGATTGAATTCTTTAAGTTGTAGCCCCAGTTTTTTATTAAACATTACAAAAAGACATTGCAGGGAAAGATTTGAAGGGGGTTCATAAAGTGTGGACACTTCGAAGAGGCTTCGTCCAGTGTAAAAACGTGAGCGCCCACACACACTCGAATATATTTTCTTCATTTTGTTGCGTTTCCTTCCTCCTTCCTTTTCTTTTTCTTCTTTTTCTTTTTCATCAATTCACAAAGATCAAAAAGATTTCGCTCCCGGGTGGGCTCGAACCACCAACCTTTCGGTTAACAGCCGAACGCGCTGCCTATTGCGCCACGGAAGCACACGAGTGAGAGAGGGGCGTAGACTTGTTACATGCAACAGAAAAAATGGAGAAAGAGCGATGTGGCGTGAAGCAAAGAGAAGGGAGCGGTTGGCAGTACGCCAGTACGTTGACACGTGCGCTTTCAAAGAAAAATATTTTTAGTAACAATTGATCGAAGCATATTTAATGGAATTCGAGCATTAAAAAAACAAAAAAAAAGCATTTTAAAACGGTTTCGAAATCCATATTCGCATTGTAAATTCAAATCTCTCAAATTTCCCGCCAAAATTAGCATGCGGTGGTCATTTGAATGGGGACAATTTCGCGCGCTTTATGAATGCATTCTCGTTTGTCCGGCGGAAAAAAACCCTTTATAAAAAAGAGCAGTGATTCATTTATCAGAAACTGATATGTCTAGCATAGCCTATCCAGTTTTGCCATTTTTTAAGCTTCGGAATTCGCTGATATGATGAAATTTTGAATTTCGGCCTTCTTTCAAATTCATGCTCGTGAGATTTCACAATTTTTTCCATAATTACTTTTCTTCTTTTTTAATCAATAAAATGTGTTTTTGTCAACAAGAATTTTGTTTTCCTCCTTCTCATTTTTTTCCATTTCTTTTTTTCCGTTTTCCCTCCACCCGACCGGCTGTAGATTTCATTATCCTTTTATTTCTCAGTTGTACTAGTACCTCCGTCTCCCTAAAAAACTACTCGCGCAGCTAGGATTCCATGCAATGAAAAGTAGAGACAGAGCAGAAAGAGGAAAAAGTAATCATGTGCCAAAGAATGATGACCCATCCCTTCCCCCGCTAGTCCTATCTAAAGCGTTTCTCGCTGTTTCGCATCGATCTTGCTTAACTGCGAAAATGCATTTTTTTCTTTTTTTGTTTCCCCAATTTTTTGAATATCTTGTTGTTGTGTCCAGAAAGAGGAAGACAAAAACATGTTGTCTTTCTGCATGGTTAGGTCAGACACAGTTGCTTCTTGAGAGAGGGGGATAAGGTGCATAAATAACAAAATGAAATTAGCCATCATTACATCTGGTTGGCATGGTTACGATTCAGTTTTTGGATTTTCGGAACAGCAGTATTCGTAAAAACTAAAAATATCAAAAGAAAGCAAAATTCATCTTTTATAAGTTCTCCGATATGCAGTTGATATTTTATGATATTTTTCATAATAAGACACTTTTTTAAAAACCTATGGCCCTTTAAACTTTATAAACCTTTTGAAAACCTTTAAACCATTCAAAAACATGTGATTCGAAATGAGATACAATTTTTTAACTGGAAAATTTTTCTCTAACTTCCATTGAAAACCAAAAAAAGCCAAAATTAGCACTGAAATGAAAGTTGAGACATTTGAAAACCAATTACCGCATTTAACCGTCAGCTGCAAGTTCATATATCTCGATTTCTGTGAAAGATATCAAAAATGTGTTAACTGATAGAACGTTGGTGATTTTGTGATACATAATTTATCAGATGACAACGTTTTGATATCCTTCACAGGAGGTAATTTGGCTCAAACTTAACGCTTCGAGTTTCTATCAAAAGAAATACGGTATCTCGCTTCATAGGATTCGTTTTCAAAAATTGACTAATACAAAAAAGAATGTTTGATTTTGTTTGGCATAACCTAACTTTAGGATAGATTGCTAGATTGTGGAAGACCTTTTCGGGACTTTAAAATGTAATGTTTCCACTGAAAACGCCAACATATGACATATTTTTGTTTTGCGGAATTTAGATGTTCCAAATGCTCCAATATATTTTTTTCGAAAAAGTCTGATTGTCAATCTGCCCGTGGAGTAAACCGGAGGGAATTGTAATATTCTCACTTCTAAATGTGCAAAACATTGAGCCTAAGATTCTAACCCATCATCGTCACATCTGGTGCACATTTTTGTAATATGCGCACAACCCTCGAAAGATGATTGTGCCTGTCACATCACTCACTAACCATCGTTCCTCGGTTCGTTTCCCCAATCCACCCCCCCCCCCCAATTTTCATTATTATGTTGATTCATTACCCACGAATATAAACATAGGGGTTGGTCGCCTCAGCTTTTACATTCTATCCGGTATCCAAATGTGCATTATCCTCCGCTCATCAAGCTGGTTCCCACATTACCGATCCGATGACCGTTGTACTCATATGTAGAGTAAGTAAACTGAGGGAGAGGAAGAGATAGTACTATTAATGCGGAGGTACGTGAGTGACCAGTGTTGTGTTGGTGCGCAATTCTTTTTGTCACTGCCTGCCCATTCGTCGTCATTTGCCCTCTATCCTCGGTCTCCCTCGTCGTCCCTCAAACGGCCCCCGCCGCATAAAGAGGACCGGCCGGGGCAGAAAACACTCAACAACGATACGGTTAGTTCATCTAGAACGACGGATTCGGATATGTCTTCTTTTATGTCTTTGGTTCCGTTTATAGTCCACAGTCAAGACGTTTATGGCGGTTAATTTCAATTGGTTTAGAGTTTTTAGTTACTGGGAGATTGTCCCATTTTTGTTAGTTGGTGTGCGTGCAAATAGAAATTTGATCGCTTCATGAGTTTAGCTTCTTTCTCTCTTTTTCTTCAGAGATCCTCCAAATCCCTGGGACCACCTGACGTTTGTATGTATGTCTCTCTGTCGGATTTAAATTTATTTGTCAGTTTGGCACTTTCATAATATTCATGTTCTGACAAGAACAGCGGATTAAAGGGCGCGTAACAAATTTTCAAATCGGTTAGGCTCTATAGGCTAAATTCGGCGAAAAATTGAAAATTGGTATTCAAAGTGTTTTTGGAATTCAAAAAAAAACCCCAATTTTTAAGTTTAAAAAGCGCTGTTAAAGACTGATAAACCAGTTATTTCTAGTATTTCGCGAAATCAATGTTACAGTATTTTGAAAATCAAAAATATTAAAAAACGAGTTCCACTGGCAACAAAGGGGTATTCCACCTCTTTAAACAAACACCGTAATTAAAAAAAATTGTCTTCATCTTTCTAATGTAATTTGTTAAATTGCTAACAGATGTTTCATTTTTTGATACATTTTTCGAAAATTCTATTTCAAAAAATGCCTCTTCCTACGAAATAAAGCCTATTTTCAAATTCTTCTCTGCGTCTCTCATTTCTTCTGGCAACGCACTCGAAATTTTTCTCTCTTCCTTCTTCTCTTCTGCCACTCGCTCCCCAGCGCCCCAGTGCTCGCTATGTCTTCCTGCTATGCCTATCTCACCAATGTGTCCTCGGTAGTATAGTGGTGAGTATCCGCGTCTGTCACATGCGAGACCCGGGTTCAATTCCCGGCCGGGGAGAAATCTTTTTGCGTTTTCATACTGTACAATCGCTTCCGCTTCGAATCTTTTTTGATTTTCTATTTCTCTCTATTTGCCACCACCCTGTAATTATGATCTGTATCGCAGATCTGGTCGGGAGGGTCGGGTAAAAAGGTAGTGTGCTAAGTCCAAACAAGACGATTACAAGAGTCAGATGAGAGGGGAACAGCAACTTACCGGTCGTCTCCTTCTTTGTAGATAAACGGGGCGGCCTCGGTCGAGTATGCAGCTAATGGGCCGGACGAGTGACCCCCGTCATGTTCAGCCATCAGGTTTTCTCACACGTTTATCTTTTCTTATTCACTCTGCTTCTCCGGCCACGTTTCCTGTGTGGTGCCATTAGAACAACTCCCCCTTGCCTTCCGTCACATTTTGCTCTTTCACTTGCTCTCCACCCACTTTTTTTTTTTGCTTCCAACATTTGTTTCGGCTACTCTTTATACTCGAATTTCCGATTTATTCCTGCCCCTTGCTGAATAATAAGCGCGTCTTTGTTTACGTTTTCCTTTTGCCTCTCCTCACACGTTCGTTTCAAAGAAAAAAAACAATTGAAGTTTCAGAAATAATGGGTAAGCAAGAACAATCGGAACCGCTGAATCAGCAGCCAGCTGAGCAGCAACACGATGTAAGTTCAAATTCATCAAAAATTGGAACTCATTTTCAAGTATTTTTTTTCAGGAAGACGTTGGAGACAAAGGACTGGAAAAATCGATGACACTGTTCAATGGAGTTTCTATCATCGTTGGCTGTATTATCGGATCCGGAATTTTCATCAGTCCTACTGGAATTCAAGCGCGTGAGTGGGGCCAGATGCAATCTGGATAATACAAATATGGTCATGAACTATGTTTGGTCTATAAATTTTATTTTCGGTCATAATACGGATTTACGAGCGAGAAGAGTCTGTTCGATCTTTAGGAGGCCCAAAAATATGATCTTTGAGGGATGAGACAGGAATGATAGAACTTTTATTTTTTTTTTTCTTGAAAACTCTCTTTCTGTAGATTCAGATTTTAAAAAAAACAAATCATGTTTTGAAGCCGTCTAAGAAATACTTCTGAAACATTCACTTTGCCAAGAACAGTACCATTCAATAAAAAATACAAAATCGTATTTTTCAGCTAATTTTTAGGCTTTCTTAGGCAAAAGTCTGAAGCTCGGTTGTCGTTTTTTCCAATCATTTTGAAATTCTTGAAGGGTGTAAAACAGGTCTAGATTGAAAAATTTGCATTCAAAGAATTTTTAGTTTCTAGTTTTTCCGCTATTCGCCGATTTCAGTAAGGCACCCTTTTTTGCCCATTTTTGTCTGAAATTGGGAAATAGCTAAAAAATTAGGACGCTTGAAAAAATTCTATTATTGCAAAGTGCTTAATCTAGATCTGTTTCACACGCTCTAGAATTTTCTAAATGATCGGAAAATTGACATCCGAGATGCATTCTCCCGAAAATAGTCAAATGACGAAAATCAACTGAAAACACGATTTCTATATTTTATTGACCGGTACTGTAGTATCTGTCTTTTTTTTTGCCTGAAAAAATCAGTGGCAGTGATGATTTTGATGCCTGTCGCTCTATAAATCATAGTTGCAAAAGGCCGGGCCGGGCCAGTCCGACTACCACTGTTGAAAAATTTCCAATGAAAATTTGAAACATTTTTATGAATAAAGAAAGAAAAGAGGTTACATTTTTTAACAAAATAAAGAAAGTAGAAAATAGTCAGAAGTAGGTCATTGTATCAATTTTTGAAAAAGTTTCGAAAATTTCGAAACAAAAATAAAAAAAAAATCAGCGTCTGTACAGAACCCGGCCCGACCTGCCAATGTTTCGAAAATGGTATCAGAAGATTTTCATTTCCAATTAAATGAACCTCCCCAATTTTCAGAAGCCGGATCTGTTGGACTCTCCCTTATCGTTTGGGTACTTTCTGGCATCTTCGCCGCCATTGGAGCCTACTGCTATGCTGAACTTGGAACCCTTATCCGCAAATCCGGTGGAGATTACGCTTACATCATGGAAGCTTTCGGACCATTCCTCGCTTTCCTGAGACTTTGGATTGAGAGTATTGTGGTCAGACCATGCACTGCGACAATTGTAGCTCTCACGTTTGCAATCTACATGTTAAAACCATTCTACCCGGATTGTGATCCACCACCACTCTCGACTGAACTGATTGCTGCTCTTCTTCTAGTTCTCCTCACCGCTGTCAACTGCATCTCTGTGAAATGGGCCAACAAGGTGCAGGACATTTTCTTTGTTGCTAAGGTTGCCGCTCTCATTTTGATCATTTTCACCGGTCTCTGGAATTTGGTTTCGGGTAAGTTTTAGACTCAACATAGTATATAGAATGAAATTTGCTTCAGGCAAGCCACAGGCTCGCGATTCGTTCGAAAATATCTTTGAGAACACTGCCAAAGACTTCCAAACCGCGTCTCTTGCCTTCTACTCCGGATTGTTTGCTTACCAAGGATGGAATTATCTGAACTTCATTGTTGAGGAGCTACAGAATCCAAAACGGTAAGATTTCGAGCGTAAATTAAGATTTTTAAGTTCAACGTTTTAGAAACCTCCCACTCTCAATTGCCATCTCCTGTTCATTGTGCACTATCATCTACACCCTTACCAACGTCGCTCTCTACACTTCAATCTCTCCAGATGAGATGCTAGCCAGTCCAGCTGTTGCTGTGGTACGTCTGATATTTCGAAAACTCAATAAATTCGTCATTTCAGTTGTTTGCTGAAAAGAACTACGGATGGTTCGCGTTCTGCATGCCAATCTTCGTTGCCTGCTCGACCATTGGATCCGCCAATGGAGTGATTTTGACCAGTTCCAGGTTGAGTATTTGCATTTTTAGACTTTTCGATGACAATCTTTCTTTCTAATAACAATACATTTTAGATTGTTCTATTGTGGAGCTCGTGAAGGACAAATGCCGAATGTGCTCACCATGGTGAACAAGCAGACTAAGACTCCAATTCCAGCTGTCATTTTGACTGTGAGTTTTTATTTTTATTTCTAAAAATGAATAGCGATCATAAAAACAAACAGAAATCATTTGCAGGGTCTCCTCTCACTGATCTATCTCTTGCTCTCCAACAACATCTACTCCCTCATCAACTACATCCAAGTCAGCTACTGGATCGCCATCGGAGGAGCTATTCTCGCTCTCTTCTACTTCAGAAAAAGCATGTCAGATGCTCCGAGAGCTGTTAAGGCGCCCATCATCTTCCCATAATCTTCTTCATCGGATGCGTTCTTCTTGTATTAGTTCCAGTGCTCGGGAATCCAAAAGACACCGCTATTGGCATCCTCATTATGCTTTCCGGAGTTCCAGTGTACATTCTGTTCATTGCATGGAAGGGAAAACCAAAGTTTATCGATTCGCTCACAGGTAAGAGCTTTAAAGTCGTCGGGAAAACTTTTCAAAATCTTTTTTTTTCAGATTCCGTCACTGTCTTCACCCAAAAACTCTTCATGGTCGTTGACGCAAACAAGGAGGATTAAACTGTCAATGCTCACTGCTTTTAGCTCCTTATAGACAATTCAACTACTAGTGTTGATGATTATTTATCTTTTTTGAGAATTGCCGATCTCAAATGATACTTTCTCCCCTTTTTTTAACAGTATTGTTCTATTTAATAATGGATTTATCCTTTAAAACATCGTTTTTCACAAGATTTTTATACAAACGAATCGGAAATCAAAACTGAATGATTTTGGTGCATTGACCAGTGGTCATCACATCGGTCTTGGAGTAGTAGCTGATGTGACCGCAAAAATGAACAACGACAAACCCATCCCAGCCATTTGGAGCTGTGTATTTCTTAGATTTGATCGCATCCAAATAAGTGAATTCCTGGTAGTGCTCATCCATGTACTTGCTTCTGAAACCAACTAACATGGAATGACTCCCAAGTGTTACCCTCGAAAAAAATCGAGACCTATATGGTTGGATAGTGCATAAAAAGTTATTTTAGATACCAAACGGAATAGTTGGTAAAAAAAATTTTTTTGGGAGTTATGGTCCAAAAAGTACCAAAAAATGCCTAAATTTTCAAAAAATCATAACTTTGTCAGATTATATTAAAAAATTCTA